ATTTCATCCATTCAATTTCTCCTTCCCGGAAACTAAAAAAAAAAAAAATAATAAAATAATAAAACCATTCTCCTTCTTCTGCAAGAACAGGCACGGAGAGGCAAACACAGGACAGAATTCATTTATTCTTTAAGCAAATGGCCCTTGAGTATGAGTCAGGGCACAGACAAAGAGACACAAACAAGGTTTCTCTGCACCGGAAAGCTTAGGGCCTCCTGGGGGAGAAGGATGTGTGTGAACTGATTTAATATGAGTTGAGGAAGAAGGAATGAACCACCTGGTGGGGGGAGGGGCTTAGGGAAGCTCCGTGCAAAAAATGGTAACTGAGTATCCTCCTCTCCAAACAAGAATAGGGTGAGGAATCTTGGCAGAGCAGGGGTGGGGGCACACAGAGTACAGAGTCGGGTGTCTTTGAGCAGCAGTCTTGAAGAGACTTTAGGCCAATGACAGCTAGACAGTGCTAGAACAGTCAGGCTTTTTTTTTTTTTTTTTTTTTTTTTTTTTTTGAGGAGGGGTTGTGTAAAGGCAGGGAGGCCTTGAAATCACAATGTAGTAGAAGACCTTGAGTTTCTTTTAAAAACGTTAAAGTCATATTTATCGTGTGTGCATGTGCAGACGTGGGTACTCCACATCACATGTGCATATGGAGATCAGAGATTAATCTGTGAGAGTCAGTTCTCTCTTTCCATGATGTGGGTCCCAGGATGGAAATTCATGTTCTCGGTCTTGGCCAAAAAAAAAAAGCATCTTTACTCACCAAGCCATCTCATTGGCTCTGATCTTGAACTTCTGATCCTCCTACCTCCAACTCCTGAGCCCTGGGACCACAGGTATATGTTGTCATGGTACCAGGAATCAAACCCAGGGCTTTGTACATGCTAGGCAGGCATTCTTCCAAATGAGCTACGTCTGTCAGCCCAGGACCGTCTATTCTTACCCCGGTCCCAGCAGAGGTCCTGGAGCATATTTAGATCTGACAAATGTTGAAAGAATAGGTGGAAAGAGGGCCAAGTCTGGCAAAGGAATCAAGCCTCAGGCTTACACCTACCAGAGACCACTGTGAGTCATCCTCGGCCATGTCAATACCTGTTCCTCCCAGGACCATTTGTTGAAAAGACCATCCTAACTCACTGAGTGATCTTGTAGTGAATTTGGCCATGGAGTTCTGCAGGTGATGAGCTTGGCATGGTTAGATTTGAGCTATAGAAATATTGATCTGGTGCAGGATCGGGGAAGGTCTGAAGGGGCAGAGGAAAGGGGACAGGGATGTGATCTGAAGAGGAAATCAGTCCTTAGATTATCTCAGGCCTGTCGTGCAGGGGCCATGCTTTCATCCAAGGCAAGGAGGTTAGCTGGAATCTGATCCATGGAGCCCAAGGACTGGGAATGTGGAGTCCAGAGAGCAGAAGCCAGGATTGCTGGACCCCCGAAGGCCACACAGACTGGTATACTAAAACCCACTCCAGACATCGTCACTTGCAAAGTAAGTTTTCAGGCAATGAGAGTGTTGTAAAGGCAGTGCAGTGCCAATTACTGCAGCATTATCCGGGATTATGAAGCTCCTGAGAGGCGGCTCACGCTTTCAGGCATGTTGTGCCTGGGAATTTCTAGGGGGTGCCTGGGATCTCAATGTCCAAGCTACCAGGTATAGGCTGCTAAGCAAAAGTAACTCTAGGACCTGCACGGACCTGCCTCTATTTCACCAATGTGGACCACCAGCAGGTAGAAGTATCTGCTATCTCTCTCTGTATGTCTCTCTGTCTCTCTCTGACCCTCTGTCTCTCTCTGTCTCTTTGCCCCTCTCTCTCTCTCTCTCTCTCTCTCTCTCTCTCTCTCTCTCTCGCACACACACTCACACACGGGGTGGTGCAGAGAGGAGGGAGAGGGAGGGGAGGAAGAAGGAAAATTTGGATACGATCATCTCTGCAGAGACTTTGACTTTCCATGGGCTTCCCCAGCATGGAGTCCCTGGATAGCTCCTTCTATTTTGTCCCTACCTATGGCATCACTCCAGACCAATGGAGACATGCTCACATTTGGAGCCAGTCCAGAGTTGCCCTATCTCTTCTGGGCTTGTATGTTTCTTAGTTTCTCTCAACAATAGTTTCTGCTTCGGTAAACCAGGGAGATCAGCCTCTCTCCCCACCCCAATTTGCAGGTCTGTTTTCAGAATTTAAAATGAGAAGATGTTGCAGATAAAAAGTCCAAAGACAGAAACCAGTAAAATCTCCGTGCCTGTGCCTGACAGTGTCTACTGAAACCTCCACGCTGGAAGCTCTGGGAATCCCTTTCATCATTTCCCACAGAGAGGGTTCAGCAGGTGTAGTCCAGGCAGGAGATTGGAGGCTGATCCCTGTGATACCTTCCACAGAGGTTCTAAACAGCTGAAGAGGCCATTGATAGGGGCCTGATTAAATTAGGACCATCCATCCTGCCTGTTCTCTGCTGTAATTAGAGTCTGGCAGCATCCACACACTGTCTTGGGCAGATCCCCACGTGGGGCTTTGTGAGCAAAGCCAATGCAAACAACAGCTACAGACTGACTGCACAAGCTCTTCAGAAACCTCCCACAAACACCCCAGACTTCATCCGTCCAAATGTACAGATGCGATAAAAGCAGCAAGGTAGGAAAGCCGTCCCAGTAGCCTGGTGATAATCTCTAGGGAGGGGATTCAGATAGAGACAGGAAGGTGGCAGGTGCATCAGAGCAAACTTCACCTTGTTGGAGTTTAAATGTTTTACCACACTCCGTGTCTGTGTCACCTGCTTGTGTTCAATGCCAAGTGCAGAACGCAGCAGTTAACCAGCGCTCAATCAAGGCTCGGGGGCCGTAATTATAACCACAGTTCACGGAGGAGTCAGCAGAGGTTCAGAGAGCCTCATGTCAATGCCTCCAGGGCTGGGGTGTAGATTCGGGGATGTCAAGGCCCCTCCAGTGAGCAAACGACATCCCCAGGCATTTAGGAGAGGCGGATTGACGCCACTCAGCTTGGCTGGGCTGAGGCAATTGCCCACCTCTCCTGGAAGAGCTGTCTGCCAAGAAAACTATTGAACTACATAAAAATCCATCCCTGAAGTCCCAGAGGCATCCTTAGGCTGGAACATGGCCTTTAAATTAGATGAAGGGGAAAAAAGGCAGGTTTCGCCTGTAACTCGATTTCAGGTTAGTGAGAGCTAGGGGCCGAAGAACTGAAGCTGCCCCTGCACCCTGCCCCCGCCCCCCCACAGCGGCCACCCACTAGAGTCCTGTGATACTGACTGTGAGGGACACTCTAGCCCCACTAAGACTCACTGATAGCAAGCACATGTTCCCATGGAAACTGCTGCACAGAATCCTTTGAATTTTTTTTTTCTGGGGTGGGAGGGGGGAGGCACAGTTCCTGTACCTAGTTCTTGGGTTTGGTTTCTAGAGGTGATTTTTCTTCTGTAAAGATGGGGGAGACCTGGAGCCAACTGAGGGGGCAGGCAGGAAGGAGCCCATCAGCTTCCAGCCATTTACTACTCTTGGGAGAGGCTGAAAGTGTGGAGCCTGAGGGTGTCAGAGCCCTTGAAATGTTCCCAACGCCCTCAGACTTTGAAGAAGCTAGCAGGCACAAGACCTCAGAGGGACAGCAGCCTAGACCAGAAAAGAGGGTGGAAAGTCCTCCAGGCAGGGATGCGGACTAGATCCACCAAAGAGACAGTCACATAAGTCTTCCTTGCCAGTCCACAGTTGCCCTCCACCTTCCCCATATGGCCAGCCTCTCTTGAGTACTCTCCAGGCTGTGCCCCTTCTCAGAGATGCTGCTAGACTCAGAAGCACTCCTCCCCCTGCACCCCACCTCCTATTCCCAGTCTGCCTCCTGAGAGGGATTCTTCTTCTTCTTCTCCTTCTCCTTCTCCTTCTCCTTTTCCTTCTCCTTTTTAAATTTTATTTCTTTTACATCTCAATTGCAGTTTCCCCTCCCTCCTCTCCTCCACACCCCTCCTCCACACCCCTCCTCCCTCACCCACTCCTCCTCTGTTTCTCTTCAGAGAAGGGCAGGCCTTGATGGATACCAACCGCCATGGCATATCAAGTTGCAGTGAGACTAGGCACCTCCTCTTCTAAGGCTGGAGGTAACTCAGTAGGAGGAAAGGGTTCCAAAGGCAGGCAACAGAGTCAGAGACAGCCCTTGCTCCCACTGTTAGGAGGCCCACAAGAAGACCAAACTACACAACTGTAAAGCTTTGTATTTTTTATCTTCTCTCTCTCTCTCTCTCTCTCTCTCTCTCTCTCTCTCTCTCTCTCT